GTTGACACCAGACCCATGTGGGTGAGGGAAGAGAGAGTGAGATATATACTTTAACGCTGACTCACTATAATCAAGCGCATGGTCACCGTTCCTACACCTCTCTATTGTAGAGACTACGGTGGACATCGTCGAAAGTTCACTAACCAAAAGCGGTCCTCCTAATCACACCTAATTTGTCAGTATCCCTCCTCACACATAGGTCAATGGCAACCGTTCAAGGCCTATCCGCTGTCGGCTGCGCGTCCTCATTCCTTGCCTCCCAGGCACTTCTATTAATATGGCCATCAGCAGTTACGGTAGGCGAACAAGCATCGTTCACAGCATCACCACCGTCACCAGTTGAACTACGATAAATTTTTAGGGGAATACAAAACATGCAGTTCATTAGACAGTGATTGCTTAGCTCAATTTTATTCACATAATAAAGCTTAAAAACAAAAACTCTCCAGCCTACCGCCTCGAATTCCCAAAAAAAACTTTGGAAGACTTCAAACCAGATTTTCAAAACGGAAAATAAAATAGAGGGACGCAACGAAAGTCAATCAATGTAGAAAGGACTCATTTTCTCCCTCACCTGACTGCCATCCAGTCGCTGACATATTTCTACACACAATTATGAAGAGCCATACGGAGTAGTGAAAGCGCTCGCGGACATCAGCGCAGGCGATCTGAAAGAGGTTGGACTTGCCCATTTTTCGGAAGACATTGCTCTTTAGTTCGATAAACTAAAAAAAAACAAACACAGGGATGGCGTAACATGAAACCAGGTTGAGAATAAAACTCCTACTTAGCAAAACTCCTATTTAACACAGAGGCGGAAAGGTGTGCTACGTCGTGCACCTGGTCTGTCCACGTCAGATAACTGGACACATCGTGCCCTCACTAATTAGCCGGATTCGGCGAATGCGCCAAAAACGGAACCTTTCCGGGTGTTTGGATCAAGCACGCGTTCCGTCCTGCGCACAGGCGCCCCGGAAAAAACGCTGCAGACAGACGTGGGTATGTGCGCCGATCAGCCAATGGTAGGCCGTATGAAATGAGTCAAGCGGTCGGGTAGTACAAAGGTTGAGACGTTGAGTTTTTGTGTCACAGACTACGAGAT